GCACCAGGTTTAGCAGCATTTTGGATAAGCCCAGCCGAAAAAAAACTCAACTTGAGCTACTTTTGTGAAGGTAAAATGCTACTTTGGTTCCCTCAAGAGGTGTCCCTGGCACTGGGATAACCCCAAGACATGGTGTTCCCAAAGCTCCTGGCACCAGCAGGCTTAGGTTTCCAGAGGATGTTCCACAGGCAGAGATGCTCTGTAGGGATGCTGATTGCTGATGCTATTCCTGGTTAAACAAGAGCCAGAAAACAGGACCCCAGAGAGTGCTGAACCTGGGCACTGGGGATTTGCTCCCTGCTCCGTGTGGGATGTGCCAGGGATGATGCCAGAGCAGGAAGAGCCTCCATTTCTCACCACATCACTATGCACCCATGGCACAGAAACACCAGCAAAGCCTCAGGAGTGAGAACCTGCCCTGCCAGGGGTGCTGGGGAAACCAGAGGTGCAGAACCAGATCCCACAGCCACAGGCCCGCGTGCTGAGAAACCTGATAATCTAATCACGTCTGAGAAGCTACAGGTCCTGTCCAGCCCAGCCTGCCCAGCTCTGCTGCCAGCCCCCTCCTGCCTGTCAGCCCTTCTCTCGCCACAGCTTTGTTTCTTGCAGCCTAATGACTCCTTAATTCCGCAGGCTTTGTCCCATAGATCTTGATTTGCCCCAGGACTGGCGGGAGGGGGCACTTTTGGGAGCAGTTGGGCGGGAGCCAGCATGCAGAGCTCGGCCTTGGCATCAGCAAAGCTCTCATCTGGTGTCTGAGCTGGAGCAACACTGCTCTTTTCCTGTTTGGAAAGATGGGAAAGGCACAAACGAGCCCTAAGCATCCCTCAGGGCACTGCTTTGGAGGGACAGCGATTTGCTCCTGCACTAAGCCCTGCAAAGCCTGGGCTGACAGTTTGAGTGCTGCTGCTGCCCCACATTTCCTGATGGATATTCGAGTCCAATATCCACATGCCCAGGCTGTGACCTCCTCAAGCCCCTTTGGAGGATGCTCCAAAGTGTCCCCACAACTGCTCAGTGCACCAAGTTCACTGCATCTTGCAGTGACAAAGGGTACAAGTTACACAGCAACAGGCGAGATGGAGGCGGCCAGCAGCTGCTCCTGACTCAATTAATGACTTTTCCCTCTTATGTTCAGAAAAACACAGGCATTTGCCACCTTTTATCCACATCATCCCTACCTAGCAGCATGACCCAGCAGCTGGCAGGCAGATCCTCGCAGCACAAGGTGAAATGTATTTGAGAAGATGGATGGACCTTGTGAACCCACTTCCATCTCTTCCTCCTGTCCACAGGACACTGCTGCCCCTGTCCAGGTGCATCCCTGTGGGAGCCAGACCCTCAAAATCCCACCAAATGCAAAATACAAATAATAAACTCCAGAATGCATCTTCATGTTTCACTGTTTCTCAACCACAGGGATTTCTGGTGTCAGTTGGAAGAGTAACAAATACAACATTTCCAGGGAGTGATTTGGAAGCTGACTGTGCTGCACAGGACTAACAACATATGCAGAAAGTGGGATCTGCCCAGGAATGATCCCCAAGCAGAAAATAAAAAGGGAGAGTATGACAGCACTGAGTAATTTCAGCAGCTGAATTACACACAGACCCCACCATTTCATGGGATTCCTATCTCCCAGGAGGACTTGGTCCAGTCTTCCCCTATCTCCAGGCACAGATGGATGTTGCAGACAGATAGAGAAACTATAAAAGAAAGGCCTCATAAAATCAGGCCTGCTCTGTTAAAGCAATAGCTAGCCCGTCATTTCTTCTAAGTGCAGCTAGAACTTTGCAAGTTCCCATGTGAAAACAATCTGGGTATGAACAGTTCATTAATGTAAAAACTTTTTTTGGGTGATAAATAAGTGCACCTGCACTTATTAGATCTGTTCCAGGAGAACCCACAAAAGAAAAATGCAAACAACTTGAACCTTAGCACATACACACAAATCACCTTCTGACCAACAAAGGAAGTAGTAAGAAAACTACCAAGTAATAGTGCACAGGAGGTCTGTGAAAACTGTATAAAATAAGTTATGTGAATAAAGATTTGGCTTTTCCCACATGAAGAAAATGGAGCTCAAGTGATTTATTCCAATAGACGGATCTGGGGTTGGGATGCCTAGGATGCTGTTTCCCCTCCTGGCAGGACCTGCTTTTTCTCCCCAAACCCGAGGGCAGCTCTCAAGATGATTTTTTAACAGGGCATTATGTGTCTCCTGAACTTACACACTTCCAAATTTTTAGCTCAGCGTGAAACCTGCTGCCATAGGAAGGAACTGGCAGCTCCAGTTGGGATTTTGTGTTGCTGTTCTTTGAAATCAGGTGGAATAAAGAGCCAAAATCACCGGAGTGGTTTGGCTGTCATAGAGCTCCCTATGAGCTGTCTACTGTGTTCTTAGGCACCAAATTCCAGAGGGATCCGTGCCTCAGCAGAGGGAGGCTGTGTGCAGGTAAGCTGGAGGTGCTGTGCTTCCTGAAAATCTTCAATTTTCCAGCTGCTGTTATGGAATGGCAGGGATGTGAATAGGATGCAGCACTAACCCTCCGCACTCAGCCCTGCTCCCACGGTCCCATGTCCCAGAAATATCATTTAAATCTCGTTTCTCCAGCTCCAGAGCTCAAGAAGCCAGAATCCTGCTGTGAGGGCTCTGCAGGAGCTCTCACACTGGCCAAGCTGCACATTCCACTGTTTTCCTCCACTCCTCTGCTGTTTTCCTGTTATTTGCTCTCAGATGTTATCCCTGTCAAGCAATAACTCTGCCATCCCTCACAAACAGGTATTACCCAGCACCTGGATGGGAATCACAAATTCGAACTGCTTCAAAAATCCCACCAGCCACATTTTTCCAAGGCAATGAGTAGCTGCAGTCCCTGCTCAAGTCCAGAGGACTCAAAATCAGGCCAAAACTCACTCGTCACCACAGTGCTGGAAGGGTCTGGTATTAGCCTCAATTCACAGATGGGGAAGAGCCACTAAGAGGGAAAAGCTGAGTCTCATGGATGTGAAAGGCTGGAGTAAGACACATAAATATGGAGTGAACGGCCTTAAACAAGCAGCCTGGTTTTTCAGGAGCAACCAAAAGGATGGGAGCTGTGAGGGCTCCAGTGGGAGTGTGTAGACTCGGGCACTCTTATGGGAATTTCCCAGTGGGTGGCCCAGGGGAGTGTGCACAGGTTGTCCCTGCTGCTCCTGCCTCCTGTTGCTTCCCAAGTGCTGCCTGTGGAATGCAAGGTTGGAGCTCACAGATGCTCTAAGGATGCACTGACATGGCACGGAACCAGTTCAGAGGAACGAGTCCTGCCACTGCCTCCAGCTCTGCATCTGCCCTGCACATTTCCTGCTCTCCCATCAAGGATGTTAAACCCAGGAACAATTAATGGAGACTCATTGAAGCACAGCTCTGTTTCTACACACTTTGGAGTCTCAACATAATTATTTTCGCACCTCTTTCACTTCTCTCTCTGGGTCTCCCAGCAGAGATGGAAGCTAAGCTTGAAGTTGTAGTGTTTATGCTCCACGAGACATGGCATAGGGAGATCCTGATCTTTCTGGGCCCCTGGAAGCAGGAGCAGCACAATGGACAGCACCCTGTGGAAGTGGAACAGCAGGACCAAACTACTTAGAGCAGGTTGAATACTACGTCCCTTGGAAACCACAAGGGGAATGTGGGAAGCAGACTGTAATTACCTGCCTTGGCCCGGGCCCAGAACACAAACACAAGCTCCTGCTCAAACCCAGCTCCCCACAAAAGTGAACTATTCCTTGGAATAGTGGCCAGGATCTCACCAATGTGCCCTTGCTGAAAGACACCCCCTTGGTGTCCCAGTGCTGCTCTTGGTGCTGCTCCTGCACTTTCCCAGGGCATGAACACCACTTCAAGAGCTGCTTTGCAAATCCAAGTGTCCCTCAAAACTCCTGTCTCAGAAGAGGAGCAGCCAGTCCTGTTGTACTGCCAGAGACGAAGCACTGCCACCATCCCTGTGGGGACAATGCTGTCACACACCCCAAGACACAGCTCTGAGAAAGGGAAGCAGATTTAATTATGGAGACCATTGCATTTCCCAGAGGTGATGTCTGGAAGGAGCATGCACAGGTGAGCCAGGCAGCTTGGAGCTGGTGGAAGCTGGAGGCACCACGGGTTTGTAAGAACGAGCATCCAGCACAACCACACTGGGGGCCTGATGGAGATCTGACCACAACTCTCATCTGGGAGAGGAGATGGCTCCATACTGAGCCTTGATCCCACTGATGCTGGGAGACACAACCAACAGTCAGTGACACTGGGGGGAACACCAAGGTGGGAGGCACATTACAGCACCCCTAGGCAGAAAGGGTGTAAGAGCTGGAAAACAGCTGCTGCATACAAGGAAGGGGCCCTGGCACCATGGTTCATCTCAGGTCACCACTGGTCTAATGACAGCCAGGCAGAACCCTGAGCTGTCCCAGGAGCAGCAACAGGTCTGAGGCAAAGGTGAGGGGCCTCACATGTGCCCCAGCTCAGCCCCTGTGTGCACAAGGGTGCACACGGAAAGGGGTGTGGGTGAGGCTAGCAGGGACTGGGGTGTCAGGAGTGAGGTACTTGGACTGAGGTGGCATGTGGAGACTGAGGTGTCAGGACAGGCATGATGAGTGTGAGCTGTAAGGATTGGGGTGCTGGTAGTGGGGTGTCATGAGTTGGGTGCTTGGACTGTGTTGGGAGCAGGGTGTTGGGAATGGAGTGCTGGCAGTGGGATGACAGGAGCTGCCTGTGTGTGCACAGTGTGAAGGGATGTGCGAGTGCTGATTCAGGCCAAGTCCTGCTTTGCCTTCTCTGTCCCACCACCCTGTCCCAACCTTCCCAAGGGCTCCAGACCTGTCCCACCACCACTGCCAGGAGAATTTGGGGAGCAGAGGGAGATCCCAGCCTGCAGGTAGGTGTGAGAGCAGTTGGACCACGGTACCCCCATACCACCAAGCCCGCTGTGACCCAGCTCACCCGGGACGCCCCCTCGTACCTTGCAGTCCGTCAGGCAGGATCTGACCGAGTACTCTTCCGATTGCAAGTACTTCTCCAGCAAGAGGTCGAACTCCTCGTATTTTTCCTGAGCGTGTTGGTCCAGCCGCTGGTACGCCTGGACGCAGCTGCTACAGGCCTCCCCGTCCAGCGCCCCGGCCGCCGCCACCACCAGGTCCACCATCAGGTTGTCCAGGCTGCAGTCCAGGCCGTCGGGGCCGGCCATCTCCCGCAGCAGGTCCCAGATCGTGTAAGTATCACAAAAGGAGAGGTTGAAGTTCCTGAAGTAAGCCTGCAGGAAGGTCCTTTTGGAGGAGGGCGAGGCGAAGAAGGGCGCGGCGGCGGCGGCGGCGGCGGCGGCGGGGGGCGAGCGCNCAGCTTGGCCCCGGCGCAGAGCCACAGATGGTCGGAGAGGAGCACGGTGAAAAAGAGGAGCGAGGCGAGCGACAGGCGCCATTTCTGCGCCCGCTCGGGGTCGGCCACCGGCTTGTCGCTGCGGCGCGGCGCGCAGCACACGGCCCCGCCGGCGGCGCCCCCGCGGGGGGACATCCAGGCGCCGCGGATCATGCCGGGGGCGCGCGGGCGGCGGGCGGGCAGCGCCGCGCT